CTACTACTGCCCTGAATCTTGGTCCACTAGGTCCTTAGGCTTCTTCATCTCCAAGCATACAGTACATATGGAATTTTGCTATTTTAAAAACCTTTTAAATTTGGTGAAAACTTTAAAATACAGAAAAATACAAAGAAAAAAATCACTTATACTTCCATTTTTCAGAATTCCTACCATCTCAGTATAAATGCTTTTAGTTTTTTAAAAAAGAAATCACGTTTTATAAAAAAAATTGATATTTTCTAGAACAAGGACTTTAGAAAATTAGTCACATAAGAATTTAAAAATTCATCCTGAATCTCATCACTCAAGAATAACAGCCACTATAAAGACCTATGTCCATACACAAATAGACTGCTATAGTTAGAAAAACAGGATTTATTGATTCTATTTTGAAATAAAAAACCATATTCCAATTTATTTATATTTAACAGAAGAAAAATGGAAATAAAGTAGAAATGAAGGAACTGTTGAAATTTTAATAGGGGAGCAGCGGTCAAGACAGGAGAGGTCTGCTTTGCCATGTGGGCCAGCTCCCTGGCCAGGGATTGAACTTGTGCTGCAGTGGCTGCCAATAGCTTCATGATGCTGAGACTTAACCCCTTGCACCACCAGGGAGGCCCCCTGATGGCTTTTTAATTTGAAGTCAACAGATCTTTTGTTGCTATTAAAGAGTTAGAATCATTATTCATTTCCCCTACTTCATCATTTACTCTCAAGCAGTTGTTGCTATTGCTCCTCAGTCAGAAGACTATAAATGTACAGATGTATACTTAATTTGTTTCTTTCCAGATTTAGTGCTATTAGTGAGAATTTACAGGATTTCATTAACATGTCAATATGGCTTCTGGAGAGGTGATAATAGAGTTGAGCCTATCTTTATTCCTTTCTGTTTCTTACCAGAATCTTGTTTCTATCTTGGCTACAATTTTTGAGCTACATTATATTTAATTACCCTACTTTTATTTTCTGCTGCTGAAATTTCTATTGTTTTTAATTCTTTTTCACATTTAATTAGAAACTAGTAATAGGAGTTCTGTAATATACTGATGAATTTTGAAAATTTTAATTTGGAAGGGCTATTAATCATGTATTTTTCAATAGTTGTTTATAAATAATATCTCCTTTTCTGTTGTGTGCTATGTAGCAAGCATTGTGCTAATTATTTTATATTCATGGGTATGCTAAATGTTTTACACACATTTATTCCTCACAGCCCTATTATTAAACTCATTCTACAGATGAGACAACCAAGGCTCTAAAACAGAACTCTTATCCATAGGGTTAACTGGAACCAATTGAAGCCAGAGTTTAACTTGAATTTTCATTAAAATAAGTTTTGAAATATGTCTTCTATCTCTGTTGAGATAGACAGCAATAACAAAAAGACATTTTTCTTTCCCAATTTATTCCTCTCACATTCATTTCATCTGGGTTTGAAACATTTAGCGTTCCTATGTGTATTTTTTTTTTTAAGATTTATTTAATTATGCATACAAGTACTGGGGTACAGCCAGAGGTGTGTGGGGGGGATGAAAGGATTCACCAGAGACAGAGTGGGGAACAGAACAGGCAGATTGACTGAAATATACAGCTGAGGGGAGCAGTGGGCGAGGCAGGAGAGGTCTGCTGTGCCATGGTAACTCCCTGAACCGGGATCGGCTGTGAACAACTTCATAGGTTGTGTCTTAACCCCTTGAGCCAGCAGGGAGGCCCTTTATGTGTACTGGCATCAGGTAGTAAAATTCTGAGTATGTGACTTCTGAAAAAAAAAAAATCCATGCTGGGCAAGTACTCAATATATAGCTCATCATGCTACATCAAACCTTGAGGACATTATACTAAGTGAAATAGGCCAGTAACAAAAAGATAAAAATTATATTAAAGAAAATGTAACTGGGGCCTCCCGGTGGTGCAGTGGGTTGAGCACTGCGCTGTGAAGCTCTGCAGTGCGGATTCGATTCCCAGCAGGCCAGGGAGAAACCCACATGGTGTGGCAGACCTCACCTGTCTCGCCTGCTGCTCCCCTCAACAGTGTCTTCAGTCCGTCTGCCTGTTCTGCTCCCTGCTCTGTCTCTGGTGAATTCTCTCACCCTCCCGTACCTCTGACCTGTACTGCAGTTCTTGTATAAATAAATAAATCTTAAAAAAAAGAAAAAGAAAATGTAACTGGGTTGCTTATGTGTAAGGATAAAATATGATCTAATATCCAGTAGGATGGATACTATCAAGAAAAAGAGAAAATAACAAGTGTTAGTGAGAATGTAGAGAAATTAGAACTCTGAGCACTGCTTTGGGATTGTAAAAATGGTGCAAATGCTATGGAAAACACTATGGAGGTTCCTCAAAAAATTATACACACAACTGTCATATCCAGCAATCCGACTTCTGGCATATACCAATAAGTATTCAAAAGACAGCTCTAAAAGGGATTATTTGCACACTCACATTCACTGCATCATTATTCACAATAGTCAACAGGTAGAAACAATCCAAATGTATATCAGCAGATGAAAGGATAAAGAAAACACGGCTCGTATGTAAACGCAATGGACTATTATACAGTCTTAAAAAGGAAGGAGATTCTGTCATGCTACACTGATGAACCTTGAGGATATTATACTAAGTGAAATAAACCAGTGACAAAAAGAAAAATATTGTATGGTTACACTTATATGAGGTATCTAAAGTAGTCAAATTCATAGAAACACAGAGTTGAATGATGATTATCAAGGGCTAGAGACAGTAAAGGAGAGTTTTAATTTAATGGGTATTAGATTCGCAAGATAAAAGTTTTGGATACCTGTTTCACAGAAATTTGTGAATATACTTAGCAATACTAAACTGTATACTTAAAGAGTTAAGATGATTAATTTTACATTGTGTACTTACCACAATTTTTTAAAAAAGGAGATTCTATAACACTGTCAGTCCTGTTCCCTGTTCTCCCCCCAGTTGAATGCCCTACTATGTAGGCTTTGGCTCTACCTTGGTAGGCTTTGGCTCTACCTTGGTAAGAAAAGACACAGGGAAAAGCTAAGCTTGTGCAGTAAAGAAAAGCCTCCATCCTATCTCATGGGAAAACATTCACATACTTTTGTTAATTTCACACAGTATAATCTACTTTTCATTCCCTCTTTCCCATCCACTGGGTGGTTTTATTTTGTTTTAAAACAAGGAGACCTGCCAAAAAGAAAAACCCTAGGGCTTACTTCTGCAGGATGGATCCCTTAATGACCAGCTCTTCATCCAAATCTGCTTCATTAGCCATGAAGAGCAGCCTCTTTCCTGTGCTGTCCACTCCAATGAAGTCACGCTGCTCCACTGAATCATACAAAAGAAGGAAAATCAAACAAAGCCATTTTCCCCGCTTGCATCACTAAGTCAGGGGCAGGGCACCTGTTCACATTGCTTTTGGAACCAAATGCAGGCCTGAATGTTATATAGCACATACTTACCACACTGTTGAAAACATGGGCAAAGTTTTTTCATATGGTTTTAAAGGATATTATTAGGTTAACTACTGAATTTAATAACGTTATAGATTAAAATATTGTGCCAATGTAATTTCCTGTTTTAAGAGACTGTCATTTTTCTTGGGGGGGAGGTACACACTAATGTGTTTAAAGGCAAAGAGAATCATGCCTGCAATTCAATCTCAAATAGCTCAGAAAATAATAATTATATATAATATTTTGTACATATATTATATTGAATAACTATTATAATAAAAGAAAGAGCAAATGTTAACATTAGGGGAATCTGGGTACATGAAATATAAGTTCTTTGTACTATTCTGTAATCTTACAGAATAGTTAAATTATCTAAATAATAAAAAGGAGATGATGGATATGTTAGACTATAGTAATTTTATAACATATACATATATTAAAATCATACTATATACCATGACATCATTTTTATTTGTCAAAAATAAGTAAATAAAAATTAAAAATAGTGCTTACCTTACAGGCTTGCTATGAGGACTAAATGAATTAATATTTAATAACTGTTTAATAACTATTATAATTCTATAACTGTGGTATTAACTAAAACATTAAATAACATGTTTTAAGTTTAAAAATTAAACAAAATACATTAAACAAAATACATCATTTGATCCTCACAATAATCAAATAAAGCCATGATTTAATGTCATTAAAAAGAAAATACTCAAAGTTGAGCTCTAGGAAAAGTGATATCTCTTAAAGATGAATTTGTCTGCCTCCTATTGATGGCAATGGCTACTAACTAACTGAATGTGTTTGTTATAGCCTGCAAATCCCTATTTATCTAGAACCAAATGTATTACCCAAGTGTAGTTCAGGTGCTTAAAAGCATTCATGCCTTCAGAGGTCACTGGTCATCTTATCATAAGCAGTGTGTCATAAAACACACTTTCAATAACCAAGATTAGTGAACTCTAGGAAGGAAAGATAAAAAACGCCAAATTGTGGGTAAGTTTTATAGAGGATTTCAACTGAAGCTACATTTTGTAGAGAATTTCAAATTCCACGCAGCAGCATTCACATATATCAATTCATCCATTATATGGAAACTCAAGACTATAACAAAGTCTGCAAAGTTCTGATTATGAGCCAAGATTTTAAAAAGAAACACAAAGATGTTATTTTTGGATATAGTTTAGACTGCTTGCCCTATCCAATTCCTTAGGCCCACAAAAACCTTGAATCACTGAATGTCCTGGGAGCAATAATTTCTAACAAGTCCATTTTTCAGCTGTGTTGCATTTCACTTGCATTCTTCTCCCTCTCTGGCCCCCTCCTGTATTTGCTTCTTTGCAGCTGCCATGGTAACTGCGACCTCAGAATATGACAAATTATAGAAACCTGGAATGGTTTCTTTCTGCCTTACCAAAATGAATTCCACTATTGGAGGAGCAGAGGTAACCTTAGAATGTCATCCTAAGAAGAAAGGCTACACAAATAAGGTAAGAGAGCAGTTAAAACTATGAACTTCCATTTAAAAAATTTTGGACAATACTCACTTCAGCATCACATACACTAAAATTGGAATGAAACAGAGAAGATAAGCATGACCTCTGAGCAAGAATGACTCACAAACTCATTAAGCATTCTGTATTTTTGTGAACCTATCTTCTTAAAACATGCAGTGTTGTAAACCAATATTACCTCAATAAATAAAAAGGAAAAAAAATTTAAGAAAAAAATTCTGGATATTCAACTATTCATATTTTTTTCTAGTTTTATTACCTCTCTAACTGATCCTTCTGTCTCCTCTATATCATTTATTTATTCATTCTTTCATTTAACTAAAAGATAAATGTGTACATCTCCCCTATGACAGGCATTATATTTAGAATTTGGAATTCCAACTTTATGAGGCCAACATGATCCTGATGCCCAAACCAGACAGTGATATCACAAGAAAGGAAAATTATAGGCATACTCACATTATATAAATACAAGAATCCTAAATAAATATTAGCAAATAAATAGCAGACTTAAAGGATTACAAATTTATTACATCTCCTCTGGGAAGGAGGTAAGATCTAAGATGTAAAACAGTATAGTTGTTATAAAAATCAGTATGTCAGTTCCTCGAAAAATTTAAAATAGAATTATCACATGATCCAGAAATTTCCCTTCTGGGTATATATCCAAAAGAATTAAAAACAGGGTGCCTGAAGAGATATTTGTACACCGATATTCACAGTTAGCATTGGTCATAACAGCTAAAATGTGGAAGCAATCCACATGTTCATCAATGAATGAATGGATAAACAAAATATAATATCTACATAATTTGAATTTTATTTAGCTTTAAAAAGGAAGGATATTCTGCAATATGCTACAACATGGGTGAACATTATACTAAGTGAAATAAGTATAATGTTATTTATACTTATTAACAAAGGTGTGAATCCTGGTATTCACACCTTTCTGTCTATCTCCCCTTGAATATGGTCTGGCCTACCAATTTGCTTCTAACCAACAGAATGTGGCAAAAAGTGACGATATGTTATTTTCATGATTAGGTTACTTAAGTCCTTGAGTTCTCTCTTACTAGGAGATTCCCTCCCTTGCTAGCTTTCATGAAGCAAGATGATGTGTTGGAGAGGTCCACATGATAAAGAAATGAGGGCAGCCTGTGGCCAATAGACAGATAGAAACTGAGGTTCAGTCCACTAGAAACTTTAGAGAACTGAAATTTTGCCAACAAACAAGTGAACTTAAATAAATTCTTGATCAGCTGAGCTTTTAGATCAGAACTTGGAACTGGATGACACCTTGACTCTAGCCTTGTGAAAGACACTGAATCAGAGGTCCCAGCTAAACTATACCTGACTTGCTGACCCACAGTGTTATTTTAAGATGTTAACTTTATGGTAATTTGTTATGTAGCAATAGATAACTAATCCACCAGCAGCCATAGATAAATAATCATTAGCTGACATCATTTCTGAACAGAGATAAGCCATTTCAGTTATATCAAGCCAAACTGCCAATCCATATAGAATCATAAGTAAGTAAATGATTGCTGCTTTAAGTGTCCTATGTTTGGGGGAGATTTGTTATGCATAAAAACTAACTGAGACAATATGTAAAGAGACAATAAGTCATGATGAAGTTGGGTTTATAACAGATATACAAAGGTGGTTATTATATATTCCAGATATACATGGTGGTTTATTATAATTCATCACATTATCAGAGTAAAAGAGAAAAACAATTAAGACCATATAAAATAGATGTATAAAAACCATTTGATGAAATTAACATACCTATAGATTTATTCCAGAGACACAAGGATAATTCAATATCTACTTATGATAAAAACCCTCAAAAAATTGGGGATAGATGGACCACATCTCAACATAATAAAGGCCATATGCAATAAACCCACAGTCAACATCATACTCAATGGTGAAAAACTAAAAGTTTTTCATCTAAGATCTGGTATAGAGAAGGATGCCCACTTTCACTTCTGCTATTCAACACAATATTGGAAATTCTAGCTAGAGCAATTAGATAAGAGAAAGTTATAAAAGGAATCCAGATTGAAAAAGAAGAGGCAAAACTATCACTATGTGCAAATGACATACATAGAAAACTCTAAAGACCCCATTAAAAAACTAATTGAAATAATAAAACCAATGTAGTCATGTGGCAGGACACAACATCAATTTCTAGAAATCAGTTACACGTCTATATGCAAACAATGAGCCAGAAGGGAAAGAAGTCAAGAAAACAATCCCATCCACAACTGCAACAAAAGAATTAAATACCTAAGAGTAAACTTAAGAAAGGTGAAAGACCTATATAATAAAAACTGTAAGATAAGTTCCCCACTCTTGGATTGGAAGAATTAACATTGTTAAAATGGCCATCTTATCAATGGCCATTTCAATGCAATCCCTATTAAGAGGGGGGGAAAAGTCAGTCCTCAGCATCTATGTATCTCTTACAAATCTTCTAGAAGGAAGTGCCAAGGAGGAGAAAGATAACTTCTGATACATCTAGCATTAGCCATTCTGTAAGTGGGAAACTTGGACCTTGGGATTCTAGACTATTAAATAATATCTGAGACAGAGTGGACTGCTGGCTGTTCAGTACATAATAGCAGATAAAATATATACTCTGAGAAACTTAGGATACTTTAAAAAGTGCTTATCATTGAAATGCATAGCATTATATGGGAGAATTTTAAAACTCAGTTATTTACGTGAGCCTTAGTACTCAATTTTAAGTAAATATAGCTATTAGGAGTTCAAGATTCACATTAAAAATGAAAAATTTTTCTAAAACACAAATCTGATTATGACATTCTCTAGTTTAAAATTCCTCAAAAAAGCCACACTGAATGGGGGATAAAGTTCAAGTTCTTTAGTCTGACCCCTGTATCCTGTCCAGTTACAGCAAGAGGACTGCTTCTCTGCCCTCCATACTTAGAGCTAAATAACAAGTTATTAGTGTATGATATACTTTTTCAAAGAAGGTAGAAGAGCCAGTTTAAAGGAACTTTTCTACTGGTGAAGTTGTTGACTACTTAAGGATCAAAATATTTTATATTTTTTTAAAGATTTATTTATTTATGCATACAAGAGCTGGGTTACATGCGAGAGGTGTGGGGGTGAGAGGATTGACCAGAGACAGACAGGGGAGCAGAACAGGCAGATTGACTGATAAACACTGCTGAAGGGAGCAGTCGGCAAGGCAGAAGAGGTCTGCTGCGCCATGTGGGTCACCTCCCTGGCCAGGGATCGAACTTGTGCTGCAATAGCTGCCAACAGCTTCATAGTCTGAGACCTATCCCCTTGAGCCACCAGGGAGGCCCCAAAACATTTTTAAATGGATAGGTAGTTAGCTAATAGTTATGGCTGATTTAAACTAAAATTGTTAAAGTTATACATTTATAATGACCTTTATGCAAAAAAAGCTAATATGTTAAAAAAAATTGTAAGATCAAGAAAGGTAACTATAATAGGGCATTTGATTTTTAAAATTATTATAAGTAGAAGAGTATGAAAAAAAAACAAATACTCATTTTTATAAAACATGAGTATATTTATAAAATCTGGATATGAGGCCTCCTCTGGTGGCGCAGCGGTTGAGCGCTGGGCTGCAAAGCTGCCCGCAGCCTCTGCAGCGCCGGTTCGATCCCCAGCCACCGGCGAGGGTCCCACCAAAAAAATAAAATAAATAAATAAATAAATAAAATCTGGATATGTAGTTGTTTCTACCTATGTAGTCAGAAAAGGCTGAAAACAAGGAATTGTGAGTAAGCAAATCAGATCTTGCAATAATAGAAACTATATCTAAAATAGAAGGACTGATCAACATGAAGATCATATACAATAAGGCAGAAAGAGGACCCAACAATTACTCTACACCAAAAGTACACTTAAACACAAAAGTAACTAGAAAGATGTTCCAATGCTATAATCCAAAATTATGTTAACCAAATGCCCTAAAGAAGAGAGCTAGAAATGCAAGTAAGATTACTCAAATCTGGGCCTCCCCGGTGGCACAGCAGGTTGAGCGCAGCGCTATGACGCTGTCCACAGCCTCTGCATCACGGGTTCGATTCCTGTCTGGCCAGGGAGATACCCACATGGTGCAGCAGACCTCTCCTGTCTTGCCCGTTGCTCCCCTCAGCAGTGCTTTCAGTTCATCTGCCCATTCTGCTCCCCACTCTGTCCCCCCACTCCTCTGTCTCTCACCCTCCCGCACCTCTGGCCTGTTCCCCAGCTTTTGTGTAAAAATAAATCTTTTTTTTTAATTATTTTTTTTTAAGGTTTATATATTTTATGCAAGAACAGGAGTACAGGCCAGATGCGCAGGTGGGTGAGAGGATTCACCAGAGATGGAGGGGGAACAGAACAGGCAGACTGATGAAATATACTGCTGAGGGGAGCAGCGGGTGAGACAGGAGAGGTCTGACGAGCCATGTTGGATTCTTGCCGGCCGGCCAGGATTGAACCCGCACTGCAGAGGCTGCAGACAGCTTCACAGTGTGGTGCTCAACCACCTGCACCACCAGGGAGGCCCATAAATAAATCTTAAAAAAAAAAAAATGATTACTCAAATCCTAGGCATGAAAGGTCTAGGTGACTCTACTAATTACTATCAATAGTTAAAACCTCTTCAAGTTAGGTACTGTGTCTTATTTAACTTCATATTATCCACCTATAGCACAGTGCCTGAAGTACATAGTTGGTTCTCAATACATGTTTCCTAATAAAAATGATAATTATTATTAAAAAAAAAAACAAAAAACCAACACACAGATAAATCAAACTCTGGTCTGCTTACCTGCCTTTTTTTTCCCCTTTTGACCTGGAATGGATACTAAGCCATCTTGGCCTTTTCTCATTAACATGGCAAGTGATGCTTCATGAGCTCTGAACAGGTCCACAACCTCATGTAAGGCAACATCTGTTATTAGATCACAGCTCAGGATCAGCACATCTGTCTGTTAAATGGAGAAGGGGGTGGTTAATAGCACAAAGGACAATGAATCATGCAAATTATCACAGGATAAGTTTATAATGGTTTAGAAGCACACACAAACTGGACACTTGTTTTCAGTGTCCTTTATTTTTTATAGCAGCTGAGTAAGAAA